TCTGTTTGCAGTAATGTCCTTCTGCAAAAAAAGTCTGTACTGCAGAAATTCTGTGTCTGTATTTATTTATTTTTTTACATAAACTGTAAATTTTATAAAGCAATTTTTTTCTTCGTTTTGTATAGAATTTTTGCCGTAAATGAAAGAAAATGCATGCATTTACTTAACCCAACGAAACAAAACTGTAACGAGACTTCAAATATAAGAGCAGAGCTGACACATAAACTAATGCAGTTTCTGTAATGTCAGCTGATGATAGTGTTTTTATTGTCAGTGTGTTCTGATTGACTGAATGTTTATGTTGGAAGAGAACATGTGTTTGTGTTTTGAACAATAATTTCATTTTGAAACATGATTGCAGTGTTTTGTTAGACATGGTGTAGTGTGTTCGTTTATTATTGTATTTTGAAAAGTAGTTTAGAGGTTTAGTTTATAATGTGTGATTTTGAGCATAAAATTAACTGTTTTGCCAATTGTGTATTTTAGGTGTGTTGCTGCGTTAAGAGTTTAGCAAACTTGTTAAATGTATTGAAAAAAGTGTCATAGCCATTGTAAAAAACTGTAAATACATGTCACAATGACACATAGCACAAGCTCTGTGATTGGTCGGCTTGGAATCGGTGACGAATATGTGCGGTGCTGAAAGCTGCGAGCCTGATGGAGCGAGTGTTTACAAGTGTCGAGTGCTGTGAAGTAGCTCTAGAAACTTTGTTTTGTGTTCACCTTATGCTTAATTTTGTTGCACGTCTGCTGGGTCCCGGGTGAGCGAAATTTAGATACGTGTACATTAAGGTATCATTCAGAAAAAACAAAACACCAGCGCAGAAACTTGACACGGGGGGAGGGGGGGTGTAGGTGTAGTGTTTGTGTGGTGTGGGTGGAGAGATTTGTGTGTGTGTGTGTGTGTGTGTGTTTGTGTTTGTGTGTAGTTGTGTGTGTAGTTGTGTGTGCGTGTGTGCGTGTGTGCGTGTGTGCGTGTGTGTGTGTGTGGTTGTGCGTGTGTGTGTGTGTGTGTGTGTGTGTGTGTGTGTGTGTGTGTGTGTGTGTGTGTGTGTGTGTGTGTGTGTGTGTGTGTGTGTGTGTGTGTTTGTGTGTGTGTGTGTGTGTGTGTGTGTGTTTGTGTGTGTGTGTGTGGTTGTGTGTGTTGGTTTGTGTGAATGTGTATGGTTCTGTGAGTGTGTGTGTTTGTGTAGTTATTTTGTCAGTAAAATGTATGCTTTGTGTGTGTGATGTGTGTGTGCCTGTTTTAACACAGCTCCAGATGGAGAGACTGTGAGGACTCAGGTCTTCCCTGCTGCTCATCTGGAAGCTGTGGATTGTATCCAGCGCAGAGAAAAGCGTCTCCAGGGCTGACGAAGCCTCTGCTCGCTGTGACCCAGATACACACACTCTCCTCTCCATCCCTCGGACACTAAACCTGCTGTGATCCCTGTGGCCTTTCAGATGAACAGACTGTACTGCATCACTGCATCAGGTACTCAAGGTTTCATCAAGAACACTGACGCCACTGAAATCTGTCCAGTGCGATGGCTGCTGATAACAAGCTCATTGCAAATCATTATTTTCATCTCGAGGGTTGCAGATGAAGAGTGCATGAACTAAAAAAATTATGTTTGCTGTTTTATTCAAACTACTTATTTAAAAAAAAAGCTGAAACAACACAATTCTTGAAAATTTTTGGTGAAAACTTCATTGTTTTCAATCCAGGCTCATTCTGAAAACGTAGCCCTGTAGACCATTTTGAGACACGTAAACAATAACAATAGTCACTGTGAAATTGTTGCAAATTTACTACAAATAAAAAACCTGAAAAAACACATGTACATCAGTATTCACAGCCTTTGTTCAATACTTTGTTGATGCACCTTTGGCAGCAATTACAGCCTTAAGTCTTCTTGAATATGATGCCACAAGCTTGGCACACCTGTCTTTGGGAATTTTTGCCCATTCCTCTTTGCAGTACCTCTCAAGCTCTATCAGGTTAGATAGGAAGTGACAGTGTACAACCATTTTCAGATCTCTCCAGAGTTGTTCAATAGGATTTAGGTCTAGGCTTTGGCTGGGCCACTCAAGGACATTCACAGAGTTGTTGTGAAGTCACTTCATTGATATTTTGACGCTGTGCTTTGGGTCATTGTCCTGCTGGAAGATGAACATCGCCCCAGTCTGAGGTCAAGAGTACTCTGAAGCAGGTTTTCATTCAGGATGTCTGTATATTGCTGCATTCATCTTTTCCTCTATCCCGACTAGTCTTCCAGTTTCTGCTGCTGAAAGACATCCCAGTGGTGATGAGTGGTGCCTGCTTTTCTCTAAACGTAACACCTGGTGTTCACTCCAGAGAGTTCAATTTAAGTCTCATCAGATAATTTTGTTTCTTATGGTCTGAGAGTCCTTCAGATGCCTTTTGACAAATTCCAGGCAGGGTGTGGTTTTTGTCTGGCCACTCTACCATACAGGTCTGGTTGGTGGATTTCTGCACAGATGGTTGTCCTTCTGTAAGGTTCTTCTCTCTCCACAGAAGAATGCTGGAGCTTAGACAGAGTGATGATCGGGTTATTGATTACCTCCCCGACTAAGTCTTTTCGGATCACTTAGCTTCGATGGCCGGCCAGCTCTGGGGATAGTCCTGTTGGTTAAACATCTTCCACTTACGGATGATAGAGGCCACTGTGCTTACTGGAACTTTCAAAGCAGCAGAAATTTTTCTGTAACCTTCCCCAGCCTTGTGCCTCGAGCCAATCCAGTCTTGGAGGTCTACAGATAATTCCTTTGTCTTCATGATTGGTTTGTGCTTTGACATGCACTGTCAACCATGAGACCTTATAGACAGGTGTATGCCTTTTCAAATCAAATTCAGTCAACTGAATTTACCACAGGTGAACTACAATTAAGCTGCTGAAACATTTGAGAGGCGGAGTTTTCTTTTTGCACATCATAGCAAACTGACAGAATGAGGGTTGTGGTTAAGAATACTGTGTCTGAAGCGTCAAACTGACTTAAACGGAAAAGGACCGTCACTCCAAACGCTAAAGCAATTGGTCAAACTTTATTTAAAGATACCAAAGCATTTTTTTCATTGGATTAACAAATTAATTGTTCACCTAAAGAATAACAATGTGCACTAGCAAAATAAATATAGTAAATTTTGCAATTTAATTGACATTTACACTGACTGTTATTGCTTTTCATTTGATTTGCATTACCTTATTTTTTTCTTTACAGTGTTAAAAAATTTGTCTGCTTTTGATTAAACTAATTAGATTATTTTTGATGATTTTAACCACTCTCATGGTTTTCCAATCTCTGTTTATCTTTAGAACACAAATTAAAGCATTTTAAATGCCATGCAGGAGCTCTCGTCCTCCATAGACAGCAATGTCCAGGTCCAGATATGTTCAGATGAGTCCAGAAAGGGAACTAAAACTTTCCCTGTGAATTCAGTGGTTCAACTGTAATCATGGGGTGGGACGATGGCTAGCACTGTCACCTCACAGCAAGAAGGTCACTGGTTGGAGTCCCGGCTGGGCCAGTTGGGATTTCTGTGGGGAGTTTGCATGTTCTCCCTGTGTTGGCGGGTGAGGGTTTCCTCCGGGTGCTCCGTTTTCCCGCACAGTCCAAAGACATAGGCTATAGGTGAATTGAATAAACTAAATTGGCTGTAGTGTAGGAGTGTGTGAATGTGAGAGTCTAGGGTGTTTCTCAGTACTGGGTTGTGGCTGGAAGGCAAGTTGTAGTCTTATATATTAGATTAGGTCTTATTCTAGGTATTTATGTAATTTTGTTTAACATAAGCAGATATTACTAGTAGATTTACATGTTCCACACCTATCGAATCTCCAAAGTCTGATACTGAATCCAAACAGGTTGTGCGAAGTGCTCTAATTCTATAAAGCCAATTCATTAACCCTAACCCAAAACATTCATCCTGCTTCAAAACAGAATGAACAGCTCTTATGAACTGGTTCTTTACAATGATTCATGGCTCAAGAATCAGTTGGAGGGTTTACTTCAGAACTGAATCATTTATTACTACATTTGCTGTAGGATTGACCCTAAAGAACCACTGTTATTGTGTGACATTATGCCATGATTCAGTAAACTGGTCTTTGCTTAAAGGGATAGTTAATTAACTTAAAATTGAAAATGTACTCACAATATGACCTTTATGAGTTTTTTTATTCTGTTTACACAAAGGAAAATATTTTGAAGAATGTTGTAATTTGGTAACCATTGTCTTCTATAGTATGAAACAAAAAAATAGGAGAGGGGTCTGGCTGCAGACCTGGTGCAGTGCAATCTGGGCTGCATCCAATGCTTTTTAACGGGCTCACCTAACCCCACCCCTAACCCTACCCGTCACAGTGACGTCACTAGCTCCATTTGAGTGCATTGTGTCTGACATTGCATCGCTGAGTGCAGTCTCAGCTTGCATCATAAAGGCTGCGTCCAGATACTGTTGGAAAATAGGCTAACAAATAGTAAACAAGTCATTTTGGTTACCAGTTTCCAACATGTTTCAAAATATCTTCTTTTGTTGTCAAAAAAAAAATAAAAGGTAAACGGTTTATGACAAGTTTTGGGTGAACAATCCCTCTAATGTCTTAATGGCTTGATATGTAGCCTAAGCTTAGCTGCTTATTAAGCATTTTTGCAAAATTAGCTTATTTAGCTAAATTATTATAGCTTCTGTCTGTCTTGATTTTTTTCTGTTTTATTTTCCTAACTATTATTTGTTTGTTGTCGTGTTTCTTGGACCATGATGTCCTTAATATAGCTATATTTATTTCTCTAACAGTTTCATAAACTTTGTATTAGCCGCAGTTCTTGTCAGTATTTCCTCTTTATGACGAGTCTTAATGCCTTTCTCGTTTGTTAGCAGCGTTTAATAAAAACGTCATCTAAATAACTAAATAGTATCCGTCGAACAAAATAATAAACAATTCACTTGAACGAACCGTTCAAAAGAGTCGATTCGCTGACCGAGTCGTGCATCCGCGTGTGTGCAGCATTCGCTCGAGCGCGTCCCCGGCGCAGCATCAGTTCAGCGCAGCACCTTGAAGGAGACGCAACACAAAATGGCTTTGCGAATTTAACACCTGACCGAAAAGAAACGCTGACTGCAGGAATACAGGAATCTCGGTCTTCTTCTTTTTTCTGAAGTAGTCAAGACCAAACATAAGAAACAAGCCTGGAAATCAACGGCGGACAGTGGGGGGAATTTGGGGACAGTCATGGCGGGGGTGGGAGCCAGGGGGAGGAAGACGGGACTCCCGGGGTTCTGCTGGAAAACATGCTATTTCCACATCCTCTTCTGGGTCGTGTCTGTTTGTGGAGAGGAGAGGACCTTCATTGTTGAGGTACGTGCAGTGAGAGGACATGTCCACCATCCTCACCTCGACCTGTTCACGGAGCATCAGCACACGCGCACGCGCTCGGCCAGCAGATCACCATTAAAATCGATTATTATTAATATTATGCAAATACTTTTATTAGCTAAAGAGGATCGAACGTGGTTAATAATGATTCAGCTATGCACAAATGAATACGACAAATAAACCAGCACTGCAGATATAGATATTAATCTCATATATGCTGTTTTTTTGCGAATAATGATAACAATAGCTAATAATAACCTTTAAATAGGCTACTTATATTTAGATTTTTTAAAATATGACATGTTTAGAATCAGCTTAAAGATAAAACAATAAGAATATACCGAAACCATTCACATGTGGATACAATTGGCATTAAAATAATATATATTTAATTTGAATACTGATATGTCTTTGTGTGATTTGCTGCTATTTATGGCTTTGTAGCTAGCACAAAAAACGCAACTCTAAACAATGCATCCAAAACATTCCTATCTGAAATAATCTGTCATGTTTTCATTGTCTGAAAACAGTATTCACATTATATTACCGTTGATTATTTGTTGTGATGATGTTACAGGCAGTGCAAAACAATAACAATGCAGCCAAACCTTCTGTATAGAAAACAAAACACCACATTTGAACATATAGCAACACTGTTAACTGATTTGCAACACCCTAACCATCCACATATGAATACATTCACCATGCTGTTATGCATTTTAATTTAATTTAATTTTTAATTTGCTGTATTTTTTGACACGTGCAACCAAACAATACACATGTGCACGAGTTCTTATTTCTCTGTGCTCCATTTTGCCTTATATTCGGCCCCAGACAGACATTAAGTGTTTTATGTTAGCTCTTCCTGGAAATACAGCACACTGAAACCATTATCAGGTTGCCAGTAATTGGATAATTTCATTGCTCCACTCACTTCGCATACATTCCCTTATTATATCTTATAGCATTTGTTAAAGGCAACACGTCAGAACCTTTATGCTTAGAAATAAGATAGCCAATAATACAAATGATCAGTGTTATTAAGCAGAAAAAGAGCTTCAGTAGCATCAATTTCCTTATGGATTCACTCATTTATTTGAAATGTTTCTGTTATAGATTTATAGAGGTTGCATTTATAGCCATGTAATGTCTTTTGTTTTGATGTGCGGCTCCTGGTTTTGCGCGTGTGCCAAATATAGGTTCTTTCATAATTGATAGGAAAGGCTGGGATGCTTTTGAGCCCGTTCTGCTGGATTCAGCTTTGTTGTGGCAATAGGCTTTACTTAGGGAGTACAGATCCTAATATTTGTGCTGTTATGTCATGATATTTCGAGACGATGCATTTCTTTATTGCTTTAATTGCTTGTTTAGTGGCTGGTTTCTTTTATTGAAAGGTTATTATGTGAATAAAGAGGATGCACTGGTTATAAAAGGAGTTCAAATGTTATTATTATTTCATCATTTTGCTGATTTAAAGGGATAGTTCACCTTTAAATTACAGTTAGCTCTATATTAATATATAGCCTGCTCAATATTACTTATAATTTACTCAATATTATTTATAATTACAGCTCACATGTCAGAATATTTCGAGATGAAGCATTGATTAAGTGCTTAGGGCTTGGTTTTTTATTGGATGTATTAAAGGTTGTTGTGTGAAAGAAGGGGATAAATTGCAGGTAAACGAAACACAAATGTTGATATTGTTTCATCGTGTTGCTGATTTAAAGGGATAGTTCACCTTTAAATTACAGTTAGCTCTATATTAATATATAGCCTGCTCAATATTACTTATAATTTACTCAATATTATTTATAATTACAGCTCACATGTCAGAATATTTCGAGATGAAGCATTGATTAAGCGCTTACTTAGGGCTTGGTTTTTTATTGGATGTATTAAAGGTTGTTGTGTGAAAGAAGGGGATAAATTGCAGGTAAACGAAACACAAATGTTGATATTGTTTCATCGTGTTGCTGATTTAAAGGGATAGTTCACCTTAAAATCACAGTTTACTCACCCTCAAGTGGTTTTGGGTTCCTTTATTCTGTTGAGCACAAAAGAAGATATTTTGAAGAATGTTAGAAACCGATAACCATTGACTTCCATGGAAAATTGAATACCAGGGAAGTCAATTTTTTATTATTATTATTATCTTTAAACAATAAGATTCTACTGTTGAACACAAAATAAGATATTTTGAAGAATGATAGAAACTGGTAACCATTGACTTCCAAAGGAAAAATGAATAGTAGGGAAGTTAATGTTTTTTTTTTTATTATTTTTAAACAATGTTGATTCTTTATTCTGTTGAACACAAAAGAAAATATATTGAGAAGAATATTTTACGAAACTGGTAATCATTGACTTCATAGGCAAAATAAATAGGGAAGTCAATTTTTTATTATTATTATTATTATCTTTAAACAATGAGATTCTTCTGTTGAACACAAAATAAGATATTGTAAAGAATGTTTAAAAAAAACGGGTAACCATTGGCTTTCATAGGCTAAACAAATACTAGGGAAGTAATTTTTTTAATTAATATTATCTTTAAACATTGAGTCTCTTCTGTTGAACACAAAACAAGATATTTTGAATAATGTTAGAAAATGGTAACCATTGACTTGCATAGTAGGAAAAAAAAGTAGGGAAGTCAATGTTTTTTATTACCTTTAAACAATGAGTTTCTTTACTCTGTTGAGCACAAAATAAGATATTTTGAAGAATGTTTTAAGAAACTGGTAACTATTGACTTTCATAGTAGGAAAAAGGAATAGTAGGGAAATCAGTGTTTTTTTAAATTATCTTTAAAACAATGAGTTTCTTTACTCTGTTGAAGACAAAAGAAGATATTTGGAAGAATGTTAGAAATCATTTACTTCGATAGTAGGAAGTCCAAGATAGTTGGTATAACCCATAGGTTTTTAGCTTTCTTCAGAAAATCATGTTTTGTGTTTTATAAAAGAAGGAAACTCAAACACATTTGGAACAGGTAAAGGTTGACAGATTTTTTGTTTTGGGGTAACCTGTCCCTTTAAGACTGTAGTCTTTGTGCTTTGTGCTGTGTCTCCTACTTCTGCCAGTAATAATGAGGCTCTAAATGATATCTAAACCTAGCTCTTGTTGTTTGCAATGCAAAAAAATGGCAATACTATAGATTCATTTGTATTTAAAGAGATTGGTTGTTGTGTTTTCATGCCAGGAGAGCTTTAACCCAGTGTTTCTTTGTTTCATTCATGACTTACAGCAGGTGGCTTCAGTATGATTGCGCGTAATAGCTGTACATGCACTTCATGTTTACTGATTCGTATATCACGCATTTCATTATGCCTTGATTAATGAAAAAAACTGTAATCAAATGTGGGTTGTACACCATGACCTAATTTTTAAATGGCAATTCACTATTGATTTGAGGTATAGTGCAACATCTGCATATGAATAGACACGTAAATAATTATATTCATAGTCTTAGACACAAACAACAAAAAAAATCAGAAATTGATTGTGATTTTTTTGTAATTTTTCTTTATTTAAATGTATTGCATATTGCTTTAAACCCTAAAAAGTGTGAATGTATTATATTCTATAATATATTATAATCTATAATTATAATTATAATTCTTCTTCTAATAATAATAATAACAATTTTAAAACTAATGATAATAATAATAATAATACAACTAATGATGATAATAATAATAATAATAATAATAAAACTAATAGTAATAATAATAAAACTAATAATATTAATAATAATAATAAAACTACTACTGATAATAGTAAATATTAATAATTAGTTTTATTATTATTAGTTTTAATATTGTTATTATTATCATGGCGATGCGAGAGAGAATTAATAAAGGGACTAAGTCGAAAAGAAAATGAATGAATTATTATTATTATTATTATTATTATTATTATTATTATTATTATCATTATTATTAGTTTTATTATTATTAGTTTCATTATTATTATTATTAGATTTATTATTGTGAGGTTTATTATTATTAGTTTCATTATTATTATTATTATTATTATTATTGTTATTATTATTAGTTTTATTATTATAGTTTCATTATTATTATTATAATTATTATTATTATTAGTTGTATTATTATTAGTTCCATAATTGTTATTATTATTATTATTATTAGTCTCATTATTGTTATTAGTATTATTATAATTAGTTAAGTATTATGTATTACAATTGGTTGCAAATATATAAATGATGTTAATGTTAATTATTGTTATTTATTTTTAAATTGTTGTAAATATAGTGGAATATAATGTCTATAATAAATGTTTAATTTATAATGAAATATAAAATGAATGTAAAATAAAATATCTAATATTAATATAATATTAATAATATTCATGTATCTTATTAATGTAATAATAATATATAAATTATATATAAAATGAAAATGGCTAATACATTTCACAAATAATTACAAAAAAAGTAACGTAACATTGTTTTTTTTTATAATATGAAAATAGGTTTCATCAACCTGGCTATATGCCATCAAAACAAAATAATAAACGTATATGTTGAAATCTTATATGCTCAGAAATAGATAATAATATTTCTCTCCCTAATACCCCATCCAGTATAAATATATTATGTTTTTTATTTTGCATGATTTTACTTAAAACCATAAAAAATGGCTATTTATCATATTAATGATAATGAATTATATTAAAGTAAGAATTATATTAAAATAATTATATTATTATTATTCTCATTATAAGTAGGTATTATGTCTTACAATTGTGGATATAGGTCCAGATATAAATATTTAAAGGAAATGTTCAATTATTTATTATCATTTTTTATTGTCATTCACTTTTATGTAATTAATCATCTTGTGGTAAATGTATGGGAAAATATTAAAATAATAAAAAAGAAACACCAAGTAAAATGAAATTAAATACTGAATTTTAAAGAAATTTAAAAGCAGATTCCAATAATCCTTGTTTCA